TTTTAATAATGTTACCCATAAGCAAGATTGTTGTTATCTTAGGTAGTTTATTCATTATTCTAAAACCATGTAAAAAATAAGGTTGTAATTTACAGTAAAATACTATAGTGTTTTTGAACCACACTACAGTATTGTATAGTATTTACAACACTTTGTTAAGGAATGCCTCAGCATACTAACTATAGTTTTGGCCATTTCTAGGCTGGTTTTAGCTGGATAGGCTTGAAAATGACTTGCTAAAACCAGCTAAAACCAACTTGACCAGCCTGGTTTAAGCTGGATAAGCTGGTTTTGGCTGGGCTCCCAGCCTGGCTAGGCTGGTCAAGCTGGTTTTAGCTGGTCATCTCCCAGCCTAACCAGCTAAAACCAGGCTGGAAATAACTGGAAACCAGCCTGAAAATGGCCAAAACCCCTCTAAAACCAGACTGGTCGACCAGCTAAAACCAGCCAACCAGCCTAGGCTGGTTTAAGCTGGATTTTTCAGCAGGGATATTTGACCCAATGTTGGGTTATGACAACCCAGCATGTTTAGAGTGTACATATAATGTAGAAAACTGCAGTATAGGGTCATTTGTTTATGTTACTATAGTTGTTGTGTTACCATGGCAACTACAAAATCACCACAGCATATTTATGCAAGTACTTTACTATAGTATGGTTAAAAAAACACTTATTTCAACCCAATTTTGAGCAAAATATGGACAAAACTAAGTGCTCCCTGCGGAAAAATCCAACTTAAACCAGCCTAGGCTGGTTTAAGCTGGATTTTTCAGCAGGGCTGGGATAATATTATTTAATTTAATCCAACGTTTGGGTTTGTCCATATCTGACTCAACACTGGGTTACGATGACTACCCAGTATTTTTGAGAGTGTACAAATAGTGCAGAATTCTGTCCAGTATTGGGTTATTTGTTTATGTGTTACCATAGCAACTATAAAATGACCACAACAGATTTAAGTACTTCAACATAGTATGGTTTAAAAACACTGCACTATAAAGGACTACAGTGTTTTTGCATGTGACCCCTTTGCCTCTGTGCCGTATGGTGTGAATGAGCTCATACTTGATACTTGATCTTTGGTTTTTGAGCGACACGAATCCTCTGAACTTTCTCCCACAGTGATAAGAAACACTAAGACTTAGAGTTAGATGCAGACGCAGGACGTTTGTTCGCCACTACAGAGCTGATTCACGGCATGAGCAAATGTGTGTCACGGGCGTCTGATGGTAACCATGTGTGGATGACAAAAACCGGCCCAAGACCCACGCCAGCAGCTTTATTATCCCCATATGAGCCACTTTTGTTTTCCTTACATGACACACACACAGACTCTGCAGATTTGGTTATTTCGGGTGAGTCAAGCCTCGACGTGTACACTCTAAAAAACGCTGGGTAGTCATCATAAGCCAACATTGGGTCAAATATGGACAAACCCAAATGTTCGATTAAATTAAGTTTTTTTTTAAAATATTATCCGAGCAGTTCGTTTGGTCCATAGTTTACTCAAATTTGGGTTGAAATAAAAGATTTGTTAGAGTGTACTACAGTGTTTTGAACCATACTATAGTAAAGTTCTTGAATAAATATGCTCTGGTGATTCTAGCTGCTATAATAGACCCTAAACTACTATGGCTGTGTCCGAAATCGCATGCTTCCATACTATATAGTTCGTTAAAGAATTACCTAAATGATTCACATTTGCTAAATACCAGAATAATGAGAATTGTTTTTGAGAAAATTTTATTGATTTCTAGACAGACAAGAGTTTACACAAATTTCCTTGGTATTTTTAGCTTTGCTTTTAAACTGTAAAACGTATAATATATATGGTTAAGTGTTTTGGGTCTTCTTCCACAAGCTTCTCACAATAGTTTGCAGGAATTTTGGACCATTCCTCTTGACAGAATTGGTGTAACTGAGTCAGATTTGTTGGCTGGCTTGCTCGCACAAGCTTTTTCAACTCTGCCCACACATTTTCTATAGGATTGAGATCAGGGCTTTGTGATGGCCACTCCAAAACATTCACTCGGTTGTTCTTAAAGCACATTTGAACTAATTTGTCAGTGTGCTTAGGGTCATGGGGTTTTTGGAAGACCCATTTGTGGCCAAGTTTTAATTTCCTGGCTGATGTCTTGAGATGTTGCTTCAGTATTTCTCCATAATGTTCTTTCTTCATGATGCCATCTCTGTATGCTGTGAAGTGGACCAGTAAAACAGCAAAACAGCCCCACAACATGATGCTGGCGCCCCCATACTGCACAGTTGGGATGGTGTTCCTAGGCTTGTGCGCTTTCCCCTTTTGTCCTCCAAATGTAACACTGGTCATTATGGCCAAACAGTTCAATCTTAGCTCCATCAGACCACAGGACATGTCTCCCGAAATTAGTCTTTTCCCAGTGTAATTCAGCTAGTTGTAATCTGGCTGCTTAGTTGTTGATTCTGGCTTGTT